CCCTGCGGCCCCTCATTGATGTCTGAGGTTAGCCACGACCGCAACAGCGGACAAGCAGGCCCAGCTGGCACTCAAGACCGGCCTCGTTCGATTCCAGCCCATTTCACTCCACCGCCCGCCCCACCCTGCCACGTGTGCTCGCGCCAAAGGTCGGGTCAGGGGGACTTCAGAGGTCGGATCAGGTGGACTAGACGGCCCATGGGTGCCGCCCCAGCCGCCAGTTTCATACAGACCGCCATGCGGGCCGCGGGCCGTCCAGAGGGATTACAGCTGCCCCGCGTCCGACAGTACCTGTACTTAGCGTTTTTGTGCACCGCGTCAGCTAAGGGCATCCTCACAAAACCATCGCCAAAACCATCCTTGGAACCCGAATTCATCAGAACGCCAGGAACATCCCCCTTTTGTGATTCGGTTAGAGCCGCAACCTTTGGACCAAAACGTGCACAATCCTGCCGAATTATTGTTGAGTCAACTCCCATACTATGTTATATGAGCGACAACACATTTAACAACCTCACGCTGGAAAGCATAATGCCGAGCACGAGAGAAAGCTTGCATTCCACACACTTAATGTCAACATCAACATGATTAGATGCCATCCTTTTCTCCTCACAACATTGCTTCAAAGCTTCTTCCTGGGTGCCTCAATAATGTCTCAATAAATGTATGTCGCAAAAAAACATGGATACCAACCGTTATTTCAAGATGGAGTACACGGGCGCCAAATCAGCCACGTATTGGCGCGGCGGAATAGGCGACAGTGACCCATATTGGGCGTCAAGGTCCCCGGAGATGAGGTCAGGCGACCACACCCGCCCCTCCGCCCTCCGACTGCACAGGGACGCCCGCGCGCCGCGGCCGCCGCTCACCGTCCACCGATATAAAAGACTGGGCGCCACTCCGGCTGGTATCACTTGATCCAACACAACCAAACGAACACCATGAAGGCAAGTGGTCGGGGGTCGGAGCAACCCGCTCTCCACGAGGGCTCCTGTATATACTTGAGAAACTGATTATGGAGAGCATTTGTGCTTATTACATGTCCATTGCTAGTTGAAAGAGCCTTATTTTTGCGGAAGCCCGTTATGTGTAACATTTTCAGGGGTGTGTTTCTTAATGGGCGCTCAGGTATCGCAAAACGCATAAAGAATCATGACTTTAAATTACTTCCCTGTTGGCTAATTACTGAAACTATTATTACAAAATTACTAATTACAAATATTATTACAAAAATATTATTACAAAAAAATTACTGCCTTGGCTAAAAATCCCCGGAACATCACACAATTGGTATGTTCCCTCGCGTCGGTTTCATCGATACACATTTAAGTAAAAGATGATCTGTTCCTAAATGCAGTTGGCATCATAAAACACTCCATATGTTCAAAACATTCCATATGTCCCCAGCTGTTCCTGGTCGCCGCTGTTCTGGCCGTTGCCGCCGCCGACAACGCCCCCAGCTACGGGCGCCCGGCTTACCCCCAGCCCCGCTACGCCCCGGCCCCGGCCTACCACAAGCCCAGCTACGCCCCGGCCCACCAGCAGAGCTACGACCAGCCGCCAGTGTACGACTTCAACTACGACGTCCATGGCTACGGAGACTACGAGCCTCAGTTCAACGCCCAGGAGAACCGTGATGGCTACGGCACCCAGGGCTCTTACTCTGTTGCCCTCCCCGACGGCCGTACCCAGAAGGTGACCTACACCGTTGCCGATGCCTACTCCGGCTACGTCGCTGACGTCACGTACGAGGGTGAGGCCCGCTACGATCAGGCCTACGCCCGCCCCGCTTACCACCCGCAGCCCAGCTACAAGCCCGCCTACAAGCCGGCCAAATCCTACCAGTAAAAGAAAGTTATAAAAAGTCCCTGTTGACTGCTGACTGCATGAAACGATGAGCTAGTATGTATTTATGGAAATGTGTCACCGAATACATGGCTGAGTGCTCCATCTCATTTTCGCGCCGCAAAAGTGAGAATCAACATGCTAATATCAGCTAAGATATTTCTGCATCATAATGCAGCTATACAGACTTCCCAGCACAGTTAAAGCACTCTCACGCCTGCAGTGGTCGTTTCGTACGCTGGCGAAAGCGTTCACGATTCTACGCATTATCACGCTAATAATTGACTACGCAGATACCACATGAACAAGCCACGAAAAGACTCATTCTAAGTATATTTTGGGAATTGCAGCACATTACGGCAGAGGTGGATTATACAAGGCCGCTATGAACATATGTCTCATTGTGAAATGCCCCGGAAGTGAAATATGGACATGCCTATTGCAGTCATTAAAATTGCATTTTTTACTTTCAATTTCGACTCCAGCCCCTGCCTTATATGGTGAACTAGCGTGGTAGTGTTATATATCTGAAATATGCTGTCGAAATGCTACCAAGAGCAAGAAGTCATCATTCACACGCGATGACGAGGACCGTCCCATGTCAACAGGCGAGGGCCCGCACAATTTTCATGAGTCCCGCGCAGCAAATTTCGAGGCAGGCTGGAGCCTAGATAATACTTTGGACTTGGCATTTCTTGGTCATAACGCTGCAAACCGAAACCAAATGGTTACAAAACGACGAATTCCTTAAAGGCAACACACGCACTCAGAAAGGAGAAAACAAATGGCTGTGGCCTCCATCTGCAACAGCTTCGCAATCCTATCCACTTGACGCCATTAGGAGCCTGGCTACGTGCCTCAGGCACAATCTTGGAACCAGGCACACGTCCGCACACATCGTGCGGCTCAAAAACGCTGACGACTTGCACGCAACTTGAAGCACCGCATCCCCTCTGGGTACTGGACCCCTTCAGCCGTATGATTAGGCCCCTGTGGACCCCTGCCGCGGACAGATGGCTCTGCTGCAGGCCAGTGGTGTTTCGGATGCACACCAGTGCCAAAGTCAATGGGTCAGTTGGCTCATGTCTGACTGAACACTTCACAGGGGAACTTCACATGCAACCAAGTCGCTTGGGATTTGCTTCCTAACGCCAAGTAAGCCAGGCAAGTCAAGCACCCCTTACGCCTTCACCCTGAGCCTCATCCGCAATTCTTTTCAGTTATAATAATAACACAACATACATGCACTACTTCGTCGACGCCCGGCGCTGTGTAATGCCAACCACCTGAAGCGACACCGGTGCAGCCGTGAACCGCATCAACCAGTCCCAGCAATACTTGTCGCCCTCCATTTGAAGATGAGGTACATAAGCGGCAGCCCAGCTGTCCCCATCTCCACGCACTGGTACGACGAGAATAGGTGACAGTGACCCATACCTAGCGTTGCCCCTCCCCCAGCCTCCTACACACGATGCTCATAGGCCACGACCGATCACGGCCGGCCGGTACAGGAGACACCAATCAAGGTGGTGTCATCCAGTCCAACCGAGCTCACTGCACACCACGAATTCCAGCGTTCACGAGGTGGCGAAGCACATTCGCCACGCACTTTGCTATACGATATTCTCAAGAGACGGACGTTTGTTCTCGACGCACATTCATTTGAGTTACATTGAGATGAAAACTTGCCGTCACTCTCATCCATGAAATGTATATTGGGTGATTCAATACAACATATGGAAAAAAGTTGATAGTTCTATATTTCTACATCGATATTAATATTTCATGCCACATCTCTTCATTTATTTCATTCTAGTTCCATATTTCTACATCGACATCAATATTTCATGCTACAACGCCTATCCATTCATTTCATTCTAAGATGTCACTTTGGCAACTACCGATCATCCTCAAAGAGTAGCGAAAGAAGGAAAAAGCAACACAACAATGAGTGATTGTTTTGTTGTGCTGCCATCATGAGCTCACGGACAATTCCTGGGCCACGCCGGCAATGCCCTAGATGGTCCGCTCAATCAATGGAGTCGAAGTAATTATGGGCAGACAGACGAAAATCAACGCATTCAGTACGCTTCCCGATCCTCCTCGTTGCCGATGTCTGTCTGTCTGTCTGTCTGTCTGTCTATCTGTCTGTCTGTCTGTCTGTCTGTCTGTCTGTCTGTCTGTCTGTCTGTCTGTCTGTCTGTCTGTCTGTCTGTCTGTCTGTCTGTCTGTCTGTCTGTCTTTCTGTCTGTCTGTCTGTCTGTCTGTCTGTCTGTCTGTCTGTCTGTCTGTCTGTCTAGTCTGTCTGTCTGCAACAGCTGACTGTCGTATGCACGGTCGTCGAAAACGGCCGACCACACTCCCAGCGTGAAAGTGTGTCAGTGATCGGGTCTCTCAACCTGTGAGGGACGCGCGTAGCTGCCGCCACGATGGTTCAGTCCGTCTTTTGTCGCCTTCGATCCGGTCGGCTGACGTCGCATAAATTGCCCGCTAAAAGGGCATCAGAATCCCGGTTTTTACCAGATATAGCTTGTTGTGAGCATGTCACCTGTTGCAACCAATTTTTTCAACCAATTTTCATTCCACACCCATGCACGCTGACAGAGCAACTGAGCAGGATAAAACTTAACGGCTTTCAAGATCAAGGAACCCTAAACCCTTCCTGGGCTCAGTCCGTGAGGTCTGGAACAATAGAGCCACCCACCAATACCCAGTACGACAAACCTTGCCTCGGAGCAGCATCGCCTTGACTGAGTCACGTTGCCCCGCACCACACCCCTCTGCGCCGTACTCGGCATCACCTGCGGCGCGATCAGTGGCGCCTGTGGTCTCCGAGCACGGCTGACCTGACCCGACCCACATCGGCCAGCGCCAGCCCCCTTCCAGACCCCGGCGTCCCGGCCACGCCCCGCCCCTCGGGCCGGCGCCGGCTCCCGCCCCGGCCTGGTATACCAGTGCAACGGTGGCGCGAGACGCTCGCCCGCCGTAGCCGTCACCACCACCACCACCGCCGCCGCCGCCGCCACCGCCACCGCCGACGTGTCACGCGCCGCCCAACCATACGGCGGTGCCATCCACCGTACGCAGTGTGACAGGCGGAGGCGCTCAGGTGGAGAACAACAGCCGCATTCCGTTACAGAGTCATCTCAGGGTGAAATATGCACTTAAGCTACATAATTGAAAATGAGCAACTCTAAAAACAGGAAAGATCGATCCGTTTGTCACCACCACATCCATGAGATTGTTGTGTCCGACATGCTGCGCAGGTATAAGTGCTTGCGTTGCGCAAATAAAAACGTCCGTGCTTCGGTGTTGATATGATCTAGATAACAATTAGAATTGTTTTCATGCACGCTCAGGAGACGGAGGATTCAGAGTCCAGAAGCATGCAAGCTGAATTCCTCGTTTAAGGCTCAGCTGGCAGCCTTCCCTATAACCAAATACACAACTAAATCAGTTATGTGCTTCATTGTCCTGACACAGATCGCATCTTGATATTTTCATATACAGTGCGATTTACTCAAAGTGCATTTGTCATAAGCCGTTATCGAAAAGCGCATTTCTGGAAAGGCATTTCACTTCTTGCATAGTTCATACGACGAAATGTGCTATCTTAGCTCGTATCAGTAAAGCAGTATAATACCAACAAAGTATGGTCTTCGTACTTTCCAAGAATGTGCGTCGTACTTTCGTATTTCGTGACAAAACCGCCTTTTACACAACGTGACAGCACCGCAAGATACATTTGGTAAAACCAACATGCATCTAAACGGAGAGGCCTCGGCTACATGGAAATATTTTTTTGCTGCTCCAATATGCAGCAATGAATCCATACCATGTCACTTGTCCTATTCCCATAATGGCATTCCAACAATACTTGCCATGACATTCCAGCAACACTAAATGGCAGCATCTATCCCACCAGGTTGTTTCGCGAAAAGCTTCAGAGGTGCTGTGTCCCGAGCTGTGTGGTGAATGCCCGCTCAAGCTACAAACCTTAAGCAGCCGTGACTCCTGCATCAGTTCGAGCAGACGCTTCGGGAAAACATACCTGCAACAATAGAGAAAATCGTCATCCTATGACGGGAGGAACATCACAGACCCACTGCCATGATCCAAGAACGGGGCTCTGCTTCGTTTGGTGTCTTAAAAGGTAGCGTACGGCGAGGGGGCATGACCGAGATGGTACTTTTGCAATTATATGAGTTGCAGATATGTCAAGACGAAATCAGAGCTAATTCAGCGCTAATATAATTAATGAATTGTTGGGGAACTACGTCGATTTTCGGTGAGCCTAGAACGAATCAAACATGATGTCCGAGATATCGTCCATCGATTTTTTATCGCCGCTTCACGTGAAAAAATCCGTTTTAGCTTCAAAAAAGTAGAGCGGACAATTCAACACATGGTACTTGTTGCCAACAATCATAACTTGGTGATATTTTCGTGACTTTGTGCATAATTTTGTTCCAAACATTTGGTCCCCCTGTAGTTCCACTGTTATATTTGACTTGCTTCGAGTCACAGCTAAATCGCCGGCGTGATATAAGCGAGGCAATAACCCATCTGAGTGTTGGCAGGTGTTACATAGATAGTGCCAAGAGCTATACCCATAAAGCCGGGCCCTTTCGGCAAGCGAATTCCACAGCTCTCATATATGCGTTGGAAGGCCTATCTTTCTTAACATGCGGACACCCACTGACGCAGCACTCGCATGCCAATTCACAACTAAGTTGTTTAAACAATGGCTAGCATGAATCCTGCCAGGCTTGGCGATTTTTGTCGACGAATTCGGCCGCAGCGACTTTCGGATTTCACAACTGCGACCAGGCATTTACAAAAACACACACCTTTTGGGTTGATACTGGTCATAGTACACGCGGTACGCCATGTATTTTTCGTGAGCCAATCTTTCCCGGTGTAGGCCATAATTCATTGAATTTGAAATTGGTTTTGGCAGAGGTGACAAAGGCCAAGTCCGGTCAGTTGCTGGCCAATCTATTCATCGGGCGGAGTTGAGATCCGTAAGCGAACTGTAGCCGGTCCGGTCAGCTCAGACGGACGGTTGTTTCACAACCCCTTCTGCCCAAGTTACTGAGAACTGACCTTAAACGATGCCGATGCTCAGTCGGCAGTCGGCTGCATGGTTTGCACACAACAGGGTACGAAAGTCTGCGCGCATCGATCACACCTTTGTCTACACGATCATTCGCTTTAGACTTCCGCCAAACTCAGTACGTCTCGTGTCAATGCGTCGACTAAAGGATTGGGTTTCCCGTCGTTGAGATCTGCACGCGCCCGCGATATGTGGTTACAGCGACATGAGCTTCTAGAAAGCGTGACGGCCTGGCCCGGCCGTACCGCTCAAGCAGAACATTTTCTCATACTTCAGGCAGACTCACTTGGCATGCAATGCCGCTCATAACGAAAGGGTGTTGTTTTTAATCGAAAATACCACACGTGCTCCATTCTCCCAGCGCGCAACGGATGTGCTTAATAAGTACAGGTGGGACAAATCTGAGAATTTTGCAGCATTGCATGCTTCCGACTTAGGTTCCGTAGCATCTTAAACGAAAGCGAGGTGAGGGCACGTTTGTGAAAAGCATAGAACAACGTAACGCCTTCATTGCGTTTCCGGCGGCTGTCGCCCAGCGATATCTTCATGGTGGTTACCGCGCAATAACCATACCGGCAGCTGGAAATCCACGGCTGGTATCTCACGTGTTGCTTTGCGTAAAGGTGGAACCAGGAGCATAGCTACTTTGTCAAGTAAACCTGGGAAACGCAACCAAATTGACATCGGACTGCGTCCATGAAGCTACTCACTGTTGCGCTTTTCATGGGAACCATTGTGCACTGTGACACGCAATCTGCAACGTTGTCCGCATTGTAACACAAACCAAACAACCGACCAGCATCCGTCTTGATTCAATGCGGGTTGCCCTGGACGGCTGATTAACTGCTGCCAAATATAAACGAGACTCTTTTTCACTGAGGTTCTCACCACTCCCTGTAATCGACGCGATGATGGCCAGCCGTTTGAGAACCTGGAACGAAGCCTTGATTGACGTAAATAATCGCATGAGAAGGCCGAAGGACAGCTACAGGACAGCTGGACGGAAGGTGAGCGCCAGCCTGGCGTCAGCGATCGTCGGCAGCAGCCCGCAGGCCTGAACACGACCGAGCTGAACTCCGGGGGGACGTGCCACCGAGAGGGACGGCAGCAGCCCGCGGGCCTGAACACGACCGAGCTGAGCTCCGAGGGGACGTGCCACCGAGGGGGACGGCAGAACCCCGCGGGTACAGGCACAACGGAGCCGAGCTCTGGCGAACCGTGCCACCGAGAGGAACGGCAGCAGTCCGTGGGTCCGGACACGACCGAGCCGAGCTCTGGCAGGCCGTGCCACCGAGGGGGACGGCAGAACCCCGCGGGTACAGGCACAACGGAGCCGAGCTCTGGCGAACCGTGCCACAGAGAGGAACGGCAGCAGTCCGTGGGTCCGGACACGACCGAGCCGAGCTCTGGCAGGCCGTGCCACCGAGGGGGACGGCAGAACCCCGCGGGTACAGGCACAACGGAGCCGAGCTCTGGCGAACCGTGCCACAGAGAGGAACGGCAGCAGTCCGTGGGTCCGGACACGACCGAGCCGAGCTCTGGCAGGCCGTGCCACCGAGGGGGACGGCAGAACCCCGCGGGTACAGGCACAACGGAGCCGAGCTCTGGCGAACCGTGCCACAGAGAGGAACGGCAGCAGCCCGCGGGTCAGGACACGACCGAGCCGAGCTTTGGCAGGCCGTGCCACCGAGGGGGACGGCAGAACCCCGCGGGTACAGGCACAACGGAGCCGAGCTCTGGCGAACTGTGCCACGGCAGAGGAACGGCAGCAGCCCGCGGGCCTGGACACAACCGAGCCGAGCTCTGGCAGGCCGTGCCACCGAGAGGGACGGCAGCAGCCCGCGGGTCCGGACACGACCGAGCCGAGCTCTGGCGGGAGGGCGTGGATGCGTCTTATGCATGCACATATCTATCACACTACTAGTGGATTTTCGAAGAGCTGAAAGGTCACGTAGTGATCCAAAAAATACATCACGGCATGTTCATGTTGTGGAAGGCAGTCTGCGACAGACGGTGCGTTCCAAGCACAACGGAGTTTTATTTCAGCGGTCCCAGCCGACCGACCGCCGCGTCGGCACGCCCCGGTCTGCGCCAACACCACAAATCACCGCCCAGCCCCGCGACCTCTACACACACCCCGTTCACGCCGCTAATGGCGAATTACCACACGGTCAGTCTCGCCCTGCCCTCAGCCAGCCATCCGCTGTGCAAAGATACCGATCAGATCGCGGCGGCCCACGCCGAACTGCGTCCCCTGCCCGTCCACAGGGGAGGGGAGGGCTAGGTCACGCCCCACATAGTAAGTCCCCGGCGGCGGTGGCCACACCCTGCCGGCCGGCCTCTGGCTAGGTCACGGCTCGGGCGGCCGCATAAAGGGCCCGGTGCACCGAGGTCGGCATCAATTGATCCCACGCGTTCCCCGACACTCAACATGAAAGTGAGAGCAGCGGAGCTCACCGACGCCTAGCCTACTGACGGGGCAGCGGGGAGTAACAGACTCTGTCGTGGCATGCCTTAGAGTTCAGCATATCCGACGGGGATGTGGATGTCGTTGTGGATGATGTGGATGTTGGCAGTGTCATTGTAGCTTTTTAAGTGTTGACAACGCCAACGAAAAGTCATATGCACATGCTCTGTACAGTGCTCTTGATGCACAGGCAATCACCGTAACGAGTGATTGTCGTATGCAGTTGCTGACATGGGACGAATGTGATCCTCCGCCGTCCCGCTGACTACCGCGACAGTGTACCATTCACATCAAATCACCGTAAGCACGTTAAGCACGACTGAAGATCAGGTCCAACGGTTTCGATGCGCTTAACGGAAATCTCCTGAACAGAAACCATCCTGTAAAGCTACAACGTAATGCTGCATGTTCACACACCTCACCACTGTTATTACAGCTGTTCCTGGTCGCCGCTGTTCTGGCCGTTGCTGCCGCCGACAACGCCCCCAGCTACGGGCGCCCGGCTTACCCCCAGCCCCGCTACTCCCCGGCCCCGGCCTACCACAAGCCCAGCTACGCCCCGGCCCACCAGCAGAGCTACGACCAGCCGCCAGTGTATGACTTCAACTACGACGTCCACGGCTACGGAGACTACGAGCCTCAGTTCAACGCCCAGGAGGGCCGCGATGGCTACAGCACCCAGGGCTCTTACTCTGTTGTCCTTCCCGACGGCCGTACCCAGAAGGTGACCTACACCGTTGCCGATGCCTACTCCGGCTACGTCGCTGACGTCACGTACGAGGGTGAGGCCCGCTACGACCAGGCCTACGCCCGCCCCTCTTACCACCCGCAGCCCAGCTACAAGCCCGCCCACAAGCCGGCTGCGTCCTACTAGTCAACCCGCGTTCCAAGTAACGCAGCATCAAGTACCTGCAGCCGACGCTCAGTCTTTGCGTGATTGAATGAATGTCATATTTATCTTGCGACTGTCAACAGATGGCAAATAAAACAGTGCATTACAGCGCCTGGTTTGGAGCATGCGTGAAACAGTCTCGTTCGATCGAACAGAAAGCTCGCAGTTGCATGCTGTCGGCATCGACCGCCCAGTGCGCCCATTGGCAGGGCGCCCATTCACGTCCGGTCAAACCGTGCTTAGGTGACGTCAATCAAGGCCAAACGCTACCGAAGGCTTTCCCAACAAGCCACACCTGGCAAGCGGTCCGATCTTACAGATAGCGTCATTAGTCACAGCTATCATTGCAATACCGCTGGTGAAGTAGAAGCTACAAGACGCTACCGAAGCATTCTTGTGGGGACGTCGTAATTTTGTAGTCAAGCTCTAGGTTTGTTGAATGATTTTCCCCTCACAAATTCCTGCGAGCGTACTGAAGCTAATAGCTGCGTTTTGGAGATGCTGCTGGGTTCCCTATACAAATATCTAACTACAAGTTCAAATTATTTTGACACTTTTTATCACACCTAAACGAAA